TGATGATGCTCATCCCCAGTATCTGTTTGGCTGGACCCAAGTCTTTCATCTCAAATTCTTGAGACATTTCTTTTTTCAATTTGTTTATTTCTTTCATATCAGATCCTGCAATCAACATATCATCAACATATAGCAATAAGATGATATAGGAGTTGCTGAATTTCTTCAAATAGCAACAATGATCCATCTCGCATCTTTTAAACCCAGATCTCTCCATGAAGTTATCAAACTTCAGGTACCATTGTCTAGGTGCCTGTTTAAGACCATATAAGCTCCTTTTCAATTTGCAGACCCAATTTTCCTTGCCGGAAACCTGAAACCCTTCAGGTTGTGCCATGTAAATGTCTTCATCTAGATCACCATGTAGAAAAGCGGTTTTTCGGTTTTCACATCTGGTTGCTCTAGATGTAAATTCTTTGCTGCTACAATACTCAAAACTAACGTGATGGTTGTCATTTTAACCACTGGAGAGAAAATCTCATCATAATCAACCCCCCTTTCCTGCTGAAATCCCTTGACCACTAAACGAGCTTTATACCGTTTAGACCCATCATGTTCTTCTTTGATCCTGAAGACCCATTTATTCTGTAATGCTCTCTTACGTCGCGGAAGCTTAGCCAAAACCCAATTTTTGTTCTTTTTTAGAGAGCTCATCTCGTCCTTCATTGCATGCTCCCACTGGAGAGAATCTTTCATCTTGACTGCCTCGGAGTAACTTTCTGGCTCATCATTTTCTGTCAAGAGAATATAATTAACTGAAGGAGTATATCTATCTGGTTTCTTTGTAACTCTGGTGGACCTCCTGACCCACTGATCAGGCTGGTCAGATGGGGATTGTTCATCTTCAGACTCCGAACTCCTTCCCACTGTCACAGGCTACCTTTGACTCATCGTTTCCACCGACTTCAAACTCTGGAACTGTGTCGACAATTGTTTTAGTTTCTTGTTCGGAAACCGGTTCAGGAACCAGTTTAGCTCCCTGCTTTTCTGCTCCTGTGTCAAACTCAACTTGCTGTTTTTGAACCTTAGAGTTTGATTCCTTTCTGTCTTTGTACAATTCAGCCTCATTGAACGTCGCATGTTTACTTCTGACTACCTTTTTGCTTTCAAAGTCCCAAAGCCGGTAGCCCATGTTTTCTGATCCATAGCCAATAAAGGTGTACTTCTTGGCCTTTGCATCTAGCTTATCACCATCTTGATTCAAATCATAAGCACTGCACCCGAAAACCTTTAGGTGCTTATAATCAACAGCTTTACCCTTCCATTCTTCTTGAGGTACTTTGAAACCCAACGAAACTGAAAGCGATCGGTTGATTAGGTAAGTAGCAGTGTTAATTGCGTCTGCCCAAAACATCTTCAGGAGCCCTGCATTTATTCTCATACTTCTGGCTCTCTCGTTTAGAGTTCTATTCATCCTTTCTGCGACTCCATTTTGTTGAGGAGTGCGTGGAACAGTCTTTATCATCCGAATGCCTCGTTCAGCACAATAGTCCATGAACTCTGTGCTAATGTACTCCCCTCCGTTGTCCGATTTCAAACATTTCACCTTCAAACCAGTTTCAAGTTCAACGGCAGTTTTCCATTTCTTAAAAACATCAAATACTTCGTATTTACTTTTAAGAAAATAAACCCATACCTTGCGTGTGGCATC